TAAAATTATAGTGAAGGCTATTTTCAAAAACTTGTTATGTACAAGGGGTATTTTTGAAAGAACTTTTATTTATATGACTAATGTTACATCCTTTGATTTCCCTGTTTTGATTATTAAAGCATTTACATTTATTTTTTATAAATAGTTGAACAATAAAAAGTTTTTTACACTTAAAACTATTTTATTTATATATTGATAAGTTAGTTAAGTTGTTAAATAATTATTTTTTGTTTGAAATAGTTGTATCATGTAGTATGCGTGTGTCACAGATAGAAACTTAAGCCCACCTTGTGTGACTTTAATTTTGAAAATAAAAATTAAGTAAACATATAAATCACGGGCTTAAGTTTTCAACCTAAAAGACATGCTTGATAAGTGATGGAAGATCCATGTTTATATATCCAAGACTTATTCCATCTTTTACTGATGTGGGATTCATAACATTATACGTTACCCAATTGTACAGTGTCCTTATTGTACTGGCTCTTTGCCATTAGAAAAGAAGGATTCTTACACTAATTCAGGCCTACTTCGACATTTTATCTCTCATGAGGGATTCATATTAGTAAAAATCCAGATCTGTTTTAATACCACTTGTCACGGGTTAGAACTTAAGCCCAACCCCATGTGGTCTTAAACTTTGTAATAAAGATTAAGTAAATTAATAAATTACAGACCCACGTTCTCAACCTAAAAGATATACCTAATAGATGATGGAAAACTCATGTTTATATACTTAAGATCTATCTATCTCTTAGAGATGTGAGATTTATTTATGATTGTTGTCGAGTGTGTTTGTTGTCAAGGATTTTTTTTTTCTAAAATTTGAAAAAAGGGGGATTCAAACCCTACTCTTTAAGTAATGAGATCATGCATCAACCAATGAGCCAAATACTTGAGTGTTTATTATTGAGGATTAATTGTTTGTAAGTGCAATATTTATATCTTAAAGAAAACATGGCAATGGTTAAAACTTGAGATTACAATTTGTAGATCTTATACTTTAATCTTTTGTTAATATTTTCATGGACCAATAATTATAATTCAGCATAATTATTTAATTTTTCAAACTTCAAAATATTTATTACCATTGGTTCAAAATTCTAGTTGACAACTTGATAAACTCTACCAAACTAAGCTCGAATATATATAATAGAGTTTTAAGATAAGCATTGGTTGGATTTAGTTCAAGGTTGACTGAATCTTAACTTAATTATTGGAGTTTTATGCTACAATGAAACGTAACTTTGACTTATTTAATCAAGAATTCTAATTATATTAAATGATTTTTATTAAGGATTCTAATTGCCTTGAATACCTTTAATTGAAAATTTTTCTTAATTCTAAATCTCTAATATCATTGAGTAAGTTATAGATTAATATTACAAAATTTCAACTATTTATACCTCAAACTTCGTACTAATTTAAATACATTTCTAATAATATATATTATTTAAAAATAAAATCTTTTCTATGTGCCTTTTCTCACTTTTTTTAATATATTTTTGGAAAATATATGCACGTGCTAATTTGTTCTATTCAGAACAATTATGTTGGAATATAATGGACGTTTTAATTTGATCATTTATTCATTTTTAGTTAATTATTATGATTTTGTTACTATTTTCTTTTATATTTTAAGCATAGAATGTTAAAGCAAACAATAAAAAAGGTAAATAACAAAAACAACAATCAAATAAAGGCTATATTAATCAAGCTCTGGTCTAACTAAAAAAAAATACTCAATTTAACTAATCAAGCTTGATCCTAAGGATGGAGAAACTTTAAACTTGTTTTTGTGTGTGTTGGCGCAAATGGAAGGATTTGTTTGATGATAATATTAAGCATCGGATGCGAGTCGTCTCAATCCAGACATCATTTTTTATAAGGTCTATCCAAATATAATTTTTGTTGTCAATGCTGCTTACATAAACTAATGTGTTAAGCTGAATTAATCGATCAAATTTCGTCAAAGTTTATTTAAATTAATTTAGATAATGTTGTCCCAATCAATTTGAATTACTTGTCCTCTGAAGTGTCCATGACACACGTTATGTGTGTATGGTATTTGAATAAAATTAATCGAACTTGCTCAATTATTACACTCCTATCCACCAAAAGAAAAAAAAAATATTACACATTGTGTTAAACATGGATTATTGAGCTTTTCGCCATTACATTGTGTTAAACATCCTGTTGACCATGTATGTGATAATTAAAAATGTACTAAAAAGTAGATGACATTAAATAATTAAAGAAAACTCAGTATATTATTTTGATATTGTAAGAGAGAAAGCAAAAATAATAATAATGAATATAACTATTTCAAACTTAAGGATATAAATTTTATATGTCCGATTTAGCTTATACAATCATGATTTTTTTTTTATCATTTCCCATCAGTATATGATACTCATTATTCTATATTAACCACTTCTCTAACCTAAATCCGTCTGTCATGGGGTAGCGCTAACAACTTAACTTAAATGCTATTTAGTCTTAATATGTTATTAAGAATTTTGATAAGTTAATAAAAAGAATATATAATATTTTTTAAAAAATTTAAATTATTTTAAAAAATTAAATGTATTTTATTTTTTATTATATTTAATTAAATTCATATATTTTTATTTTAAATAAAATAAACTCTATTATTAATATTTAACTAATTATTATTAATCAAATCGTTATTTATTATATCATGTGATCTGTGTTTACACCACATCAATATATTATTATCAATAATGATATGTTATCGTGCAATGTTAATACTATTTGATTAAAAAATTATTAATTAAAAAATAATTTATTATAAACAAAAATATAAAAATTAAATAAAATATAATAAAAAATAAATATTTTTAAAATAATTTATAAACCTTTGTTAAAAATATTAATAAAAAATTGATGAAATATAATGATAAGAAAGTACATAGGAATAGTCGGGTAATAAAATGTGGCGAAAGAGTCGGCACCGGCTCTACAAGAAAACAAGTGGAAACAACGTGATTGATTTGATGAATGAGGGTCGAGTCCAGTTGGTCAGGATTCACAAAACAAAGTCCTTATTCCCAAAATTCCATATACGGAAACCCTATTATCTGCCGGTCCCACTTACGTGTTCCTCTCTCTCACTACATCACCGTTGATTTTTTCCTCGAGATCCGCTTGCTTGGCGATGCTATCGCAAACTTGGACGGTCCGATCTCAGCAGCATGAGCTAGCTTTGTCTCGTTAGGGCTTCCACGTCAAATTTGTCTATTGTCTCTGAAGTTGACTTCGTCCAATTCGATTTGATTTAACGAAAACAGATAGATAGGACCCTCCTTAGACTTAGAGCCCATTTCCATTTATGACGATTTTTTTGCTTTGACCACCTTTTCTTGCACCCCTATTGCTTGGCTCTTCACTTATTCCATGTAACTTGGATCAATACATAAAGGTTGTGTGACTTTTATGTAAATAAATTATAATTCCAATTTTATCAGTATTTTTTAAAAAATATTATTTAGTGAGTTTTTAATTCAAATATGTACTTGAATATTGAATTTTCACTCCCTTCCATAATTAAATTTCCCCAAATGTGTAAAAATAGTCAGTTAATATTAATGGAAATAAAAAGTTTGCACAAGTAGATGACATTCAGAGTAACTTTCATTCATCCATATATCTTATATTTTATTCTATGGAAAAAAATTGTGCCTACCAACCTTTCAAGGACTATATTGGTTACCTCATTTATAAAGTTATTATAGGCTGCCAAATGTCGCCCCTCTTTAAATGGTTGTGTTTTGTTTTTTGCACCATGTTAGTTCATCTTTTCGTTTTTTTTTTTGATTAAAAACACTTTAATTCTGATTTTTCGAGGTTATAGTTTTTCTTAGACAATCATGTAAGGAATTTTTTTTTTGTGTGTGCCAGAATTTGATTCAACAATAAATATATTTAATATTTTCATTCAAAGAGTACTGTGGATTAAATCTGATTTAAGAATTGTTCACAACATTTAGTCCACATTTTTCTTCTTTTCAACTATTACCCCTTGGAAGAAAGAACTCAATTCAACATTTATTTTTCTTAATTTAATGATTGGATTTCATATTAAATTATAGATGCTGCAATAGTCATGGAAAATCACAATAAATAAATCCCCATGGACGTTGGAATTGAAGAACTTGTGAACTAAAAATACTCCCATTGGTCTTCATGCCTAGTATAGAAAAATGATCTATCTCAATAATTACACAACAAGCACACATCACTCATTCAACTTTGAAAGTTAATCCAAGTTGAGTATATACTTTAATTTAATTTGTGATTTTGTCAATAAGATTTTGTCTTCTGATTATAATATCCTTGAATGTTCACACCACGCGTGCTCCAGTCGAAAAGTTGAAATGAAAATACCAAAACGGCACGTGTAATTCCAGGAAAAAGAACACGATGCTATATTCTGCATTGACCTTTACAGCTCAAAAATAAATATATAAAAATAAATGATTATTTAGTGTATTTTACTCTTACCTAAGCCCTCACCGTAGTTCCTATATTCTCAACTCGGCGATTTTTTAAAACATTTCCTCGGTTAGGCTAAAATAATTCGCAGGAGTAGAACCAGTATTATTATTACCTTTTCTAGGCCAGCCATTTAGGGCACCTTCCAAAAAGAAAGTCATTACTACTATTCAATGACTTGGACTTCCAAGTTACCCTTATCAAGGGCACCCGACGGGAACATTTCATTTTTGCTTACTATTTTTATTATAACATTACAAATATTCGTTCACAATGGAAAAATTAGTAAAAAAAATTATAATTATGGCTGAATAATTATAAACTGATTAATACCTTAATGTAAGTCTGAAAAGAGGGCAAAACCGTCTCTAAAAACATGTGTACGAGAAAATGGTGCAGTAGCTGATGCTAGCATTCTTTAGATGGAGGCACAGTCAAAGGGGTGTCCTAGACCGCGTCCCTCTCCCTCTCCCTTGTGGTGGAAAAATGAAATCTGTGCCAAGAGAAAAAGAAAACAAGGGGAAAATTTATATATATTTTTATGGGGCCTTTTTGTGATCATGACGACGTTGGCAGTATTACAATTTAGAGAATATAAATATATATATATATATTTTGTATGAAACTGTAGCAGATAGCTCTGTATATATTCAGAGAGAGGGAATCAAAGGTCAAAGTAAGGCAGTTGGGTAGGGGTAATGATTTAAGGGAAGCAGATCAGAAACTCGTGATGGGATTTTCGTTTTATTTTTCTCTATTCTTTTTTATCTGAAAGTGTGCAGAGATTATAGAGTATAGAATCAGAACAAAGCCAGCAGTACGCAGGTGTTATCAGTGCTCCTTAAGGAATTTACAGCTTCGTCTCTTCCTTTTCTCGTGATCTTTCTTTCTGTCTTTCCCTTTCCTTCCCTTTGTTGTTTATACTTTTATATTTCTTTCTTTCTTTCCTTCAAGGGCTTCTGCACCTTGTGCCTTGCTGCTGCTGCTTTGTACCTAGACAATTCCAACAAGATCGAAAGAAGCCGGAGTAAAAGCTAACATAAAAACCAGAAAGATAGGTTTTTTTTTTTAATAAAGTTTTTGTTAAGTCTTTCTCTCTCTTTGTTTCTTTTTCATTGCAAGTGATAGTAAATAAGGGGATTCCTTGCGGAGAATCTTGGTGAAAGCCTGAAAGGATATACTTTTGGCTAAAAAGGGCTGGCTTCGAGATACCCATTTGAGTTTTTAATCAAAGGGTTGTAAAGATTGAAACAAGTTGAGAAATGGGTAGTTGTGGGAGGAGTGGTGCAGTGAGACAGTACATAAGATCAAAGGTGCCTCGTTTAAGATGGACTCCTGAACTTCATCACTGTTTTGTTCATGCCATCGAAAGGCTTGGAGGTCAAGACAGTAAGTTCCTTTTTGTTTCTTCTCCTCCTGTCTCTCTTCTTATCTTCCTCATCAGCTTGTTGCTCGGTCTTGAGCTATCTTAATGATAATGGTTTGTTCTTTTTCTTTTCCTGTTGGCTTCGTTGTCTGCCAGAAGCCACGCCAAAACTTGTTCTCCAACTGATGGATGTGAAAGGACTCACCATTTCACATGTGAAAAGCCACCTTCAGGTTGGTCTTTTATTTTCACTTATTCTACCGTTTGATTTATTTAGTATCCTCGCTTGTCTTGATTTCTAGCGATCAAATCTCTATTTCTTTGAAATTGTTTTTAATATTATCCTTTTTTGTCCTTTGATCGTTTTGTTCACTTGGGTTTCTATTCCTTCTAAACCAGATGTACCGGAGCATGAGAAGTGATCTCGGCAGACAAGGTACCGTAGCTCTATGCCCCTTCCCTATAACCTTTTTCAAGTTTCGCTTTTAACTCTTCAGCTGCTTATTATATTCATCAGTGTGTGTGTTTTTGCATTAAAGACAGAATTTCTATGATACTTTCCTCTAATGGTTGTCTTTTGGAAATAAAAATCAAAGATCATATTCCCATCCTTACATATTTTTTGGTAAAGGGTAGATGCATCACTTCATTTATTATCTCCTCTTTCTCTTATTGACTTTGATACCATAATAGATGAAAACAACTATTAACTGGTTTACTTGCAAATCTTCTACTATTGGTATGTCTGATGAAACCCATAACTCCAACTTCACTGTAGCTATTTCTCAATGTTTTCTGCATCAATCAAAACCATGAAAAATGACAACATCCTTTTGCTTTTTCTCCCAACATGAATAATGCATGCATATTATCAGAAATCGAGTGATGCACAAACTTTCTTTGACCCCATTTATTATTATTATTATTGTTAACCATATTTATTTGTTTTGCTTTGAACTTTTGGTCTCCTCTATCCAACATGTTTTTGTTTGCTTTTTGTGTGGGTGTTGGGTCTCTGTATGACAGATAGGAGTTCGACCCATCAAAGAAGACAATCATTTGAGAACCATGATGGATGTGTTGATGAAGTAGGTGATATGGGTTTTCACTCAACTTCAAAACCCATTGAAGAATCAGATTCTCATTTGATCTACAGTCCTCCTCCTTCAAAAAGGTCAGCTTAGCTTTATCCTCACGGGTACAGACTTTTCAAATATAAAAAAAAAGTTGATAGTGTAGTGCAAGAAACAAACAAAAAAAGTGTATTGCATGATCTTTTCTTTTCAGCTTTCTACTTTTTCTTTTTCCTCTAAAATTCTATTTGTTTTATATTAAAAAATTAATCTTCTCAGAGCTAGAATCGAGACCAGGAGTTCAATCTCTGATCAGAATCTGCAATGCAGCCAAGGAATATGTGAGACAGTCTCAAATCCGTACTCTTTTGATGATTATCTGCAGACCATGGCTGTGCATAAGGGAATAAAGGAAGGTAATGGTGCTTTCATATGGGAGCACACCCAGTCTCATTCCCAGGGTCAATCCACAACCTTCTCTCTGCCGTATGATCTTTACAACCTCAACTCTTTCAAATATTCGATGGAGGAATCTGATTTCCTTAAGGTACACTAGAAAAACCCACACTTCTCTCTCTCTCTCTCCCTGGTGGATTTATTTTGCCAGCTTTGCTTTACGAGCTTGAGTGTAATGTTGGTTTTGGTTCGAACTTTTAACATTCCAACCAGTTCACGGAAGGTGACTTGTTTTTAGCTAGCTCTTTTTTATTTTTTTTAATTATAAGAAGAATATCATTAAAAGCTGGGAATTTGGCTTTCCCCTTTACAAGAACCATGGCGAGCAACCAGGTGTTTGTAGCTAGTTTTCACACACAATGTGTCTCTTATGACCAGTGGTAACAGGGACTATCCGTGTCTTCTGATCCTACTCGCCTTACAGTTACAGGTCTAGTTACATAGTGTTTTCGCTTCAACACCTCTTCAAGAAAAGCACAACGCCGTATAAGCCTGTAACCCTTTTTTTTCTCTCTCATTAATTGCTCAAAAGAAAAAAAAAGGCAGAAAGGAATAGACCAAAAAGAATTAGAATTTTGCCTCCTTTAGTTTCTTTCTTTATGGTGTTCTTTCCGTTTGTCAGTAGTGTATAGGAATAGCATATTCTACGGCTTAAGTTAAGGGAAAGAATGTTTTTATTTTCTTTTCTTTGTGTAGAAATGCAATGCCAAACTGTATTTTTATTATATATATATATATATTTACATTTTTGCTTTTCAAAAGGTTATATTTACCCTTCATTAAATTGGAATTCCAGGTCGTCCATGACCTAGAAAACTGCTATGAAGCTTTTTGATTGCTAGAGTTCATACATTCTGTGGTCCACTGCAATTCTAACGAATAGGGGGACCCCTCCCTTTTTGGGGCAGTCAGAATGGAAATTCAAAATGAACCTTTATTGCCTTTGGACCCGACATTACTTGTGGAGAACCAACGGTCTTTACAGATTAACGTGGTGGGACTACCCCTTTATATTGAATTCCATGGTCGATTCTGCAGTAATATTTGTCCCCAAAACCAAACTCAGCTTTTAATTGAGTTCCCAGAAGCTTTTCCCTTCTCTATTTGTTTTTACTTTTACAGCTTTTTCCTGGAACATCTATTTTGTCTTGGTAATTATTTCTTTTCCTCGCTGTTTATCTCCATGGAATTTTACCCGGGAATTTTTTATCCTTCCCAGCTAGGAAACTAGTACACTGTGGCCTGCCATGGTACTATCCTCACAGACTTTCTCATGGAAAGGAAGTCTACCAAACATTTACATGTGGGCATGAAAAATGCATGTAGTAGTAATTAAACCAGAATTTTTGCCTTGTTTTAGGTTGCCAAGGTAGAAGCAGAAGATCATCACACACATGTTGAACGAACTGTGAGGAGACGCGCAGGGGACAAGGAAGAAGTAGGCGGTGGTTGTGAATTATCATTGTCACTCTCATTGCATCACCCATCTTCCCAGAAAAGTAACACATCTTCCACGAGTGAAATCAGCAGCAGCGAGGCGTTCTCATCATACTCGAGGTCTAATTATAAAGACTGCTCCGGCACTTCCTCCGCCCAACGTAGTGTAAACTTAGATCTTTCTATTGCTCTTTGTGGCAACTAATGTCTCCCATATTTCTTCTTTATGAGTTAGGTTTCTTTTTTCCCTCCACCACCATTTTAAGCTTATATATATATATATATATATATATATATATATATATCTTGGTTCTTATTGCTTTTTCTTCTCCTTCTAACTCTCTGGTTAATCATGGCTCTAGCTCTCATCTGGGGTTTGGTTTAGGGTGTATGACCTGAAATAGCAAGAACTTACCTATAGTTTTCATACGTAAGGCATGAATCACCTGCAGGGTGCTATAATCACATATTTTTTTCATGGAAAACAAGTCCACCGAACATGTACAAGCCAGTCCAGGGTATTTGATTGAGATACCTAGTTTTATGCGTAAAACGATGTTGTTGATTGTAATTTGTTGGGTGACCGAGCAAAGTAAACTAGTAATCAACTGACGTGGCTTCGCAGCATGGAGGCAGTAATCACTTCACACGATAATGTTGAAAATAAAATATAGTATGCACGAAATGAATGAATTAAATTACTTGCTTGTGATTATTAATGTAAACCAACAATTTTCAACTTGGCTTAATGCAAATCCCACCAGGAGTTCAATATTTAAGTCTCAAATTCCTCGGAAGTACTCTTTTCACTTCGTGAAGGTACTCTATAAAGGAAACTAATGAACCCTACTTTAAATTAAATAACTTCCGGCAGAACTTGTGGATGCCAAGAAAAGTTTGGTACAAAAAAAATGCTATACGAAACAGAAAAGTTAAAATTCAGATAGAGTGGACACAATCTGATCTTGTACTATTTAGCATTAAAGTATCATCTAACCCAATTGGACACTTGGTTTCTTATTATTCTCTAGATTAGTAATTGAGTTCTATTTCTACCAAATGGTAGAGACCAAATGGGCTGTCAGTTTAATATTTAGGTGAGATATTTGCATTCCGGGTGTACAATTTCTTAGAGCTAGGGGGGCTGCAAGTCTAATTGCAATTAATTACTGAAAGAAAATTAACATATAACCTTTTACAAATCAAATATTTTAAGGGGGTTAATAACCATAGCGTATAGACAGGTAACAAGCTAGGTTTCCTATTAAAATATTTTGGACCGCATAAATGTACCCATTAAATTAACTTGTTTTATTTCTTTTTTTTAACGTTCAACATCCACTGAAACCGAGCTTTACATTGAAAATTATTTGTCTTCCTTTTTCTCCTTTAATGAGGGCATAAATACGGTAAACAATATACTGTATACCACTTAATAAAGTCAACATAAAACTACCCTCAATGTACGACTTTGAACTTACCCTTTTTATCTTATCATTGAGGGTAAAGTCTGATTGGTATATCTCGTTCGTTTATTGGCTACTATGAGAAAAAGATTTGGTGAAATGTAAATATTATTGTTAGACCTTCCATCTACAGCATAACAATCTAAGGATTAACTGCATGCTTGGTTGGGGAATAGGTTAAAGTAACATTTGTACCTTTTTTTTGGTTGTCAAATACTTTAAGAAATAGTTATTCCTCTTAAATGGCCACTTCTCTACAATGGTTATTCTTCAAAATTATTTAAAACTAAAGAATATTTAGTATTTCCCTCCCTCATGATATTAGCTATTTCATAATTAAGAATAACCTTAAAAAATTATAAAGGCCCAAATATCTCTTGCAAGTTTGATAAATTACAACTATTATAAAAAAACATTTTTCCTCTCTCCTCTTCTCCCTCCATTCCAACTTCTGGTATAGTATCAATATATATTAAAATATTAATATTTAAAATAAATTATAAATTATTAATACATAAAATAAAATAAAAAATAAATAATCACAATAATATTTAAATTATGAATAAAATATTAATATTTTAGAATATTAATGATTAAATTATACATATTTAAAAAATAAAATAAAAATAAATAATCATAATAATATTAAATTATTAATTATTAATACTTAAAAAATAAAAATAAATAATCATATATTATAATAAAGAGTATTTTTGTCTTTGTATCCTCTATTCCTTTCTTTTTCATAAGTTATTTTTATCGATCAATCACTACAATAAGTCATAATAACTATTCTTATCTTATTCCATTCGTTATATCCAAATTACGTAATAACTAATTTATTTTATTCTTATTATCACAGAATATGTATTTTGTTCTATTCTTTTTTATTTTGTGAACTAAACACATTGTAATTCCATGAATCTACCTAAGCCTTTGGCATTTGAAGTCGAGATAACGAAATGTAAAGCTGTGAAATTGGCTTCATCTTATCATTAAGGTAAGCACTCATTGGCTTAGATGGTTAATTAATCTGATGAGTTCATCAATGGTCGCCAAGTGTGATTGCCTCTAAATTAATGATTTTGTTTTTATACATGCGAGGAAGTTTGAGGGAGGAGAAGTGAGTTCACACTTTAGACCTTAAAATATTTCGTGTGTTCTCTTATATAAGGTTCGAGTGTTCTGTGTTCAGATTTTCAAGTCTGATCCATGTTTGAGTTTGATAAAATTGATAATTAATTAATTTTTATATTCAAGAAAACACTTAATTCTAAATTTGATTTATCGCAACGTGTGGGTCGACAACTTGATCATCTAAAACATTTTCGATCCTACTTTTTTTTATTGCTTTTTGTTAGCACATTTTCAACGAGTCCACCTAGACTGGGCTCAGGCCCTTTTTTTGGGACCTTTTTGGGCCCAGGTCCGGAACAGGCTTTGGGGGGCTGCCCCGCTTCGCCTCTTCTCTCTCGTTTATTTTTTTCTTTACATTTCACCCTCAGTTAGGTTATTACACGGAAGATAACCTTTGGCCTTGGAAACTTATTACGCATAGCTGCTGGTGTAGTGCTAATGATGTTATCACAGGGAAGATCATCTTTGCCCACAAGTGTACAAGTTTTTGGATTTTGGATTGGTAAATAGTTTGTTTACCCTTAGAACCAAAATGAAAAAAAAATAAAAAAAAATAAACGAATAAACAGCATCGAATCTATGATAAAAAGATGTACCAAAAAACCTTTCATCCCTACTTGGACCTAAAGATACAAGGTTACATCCCGGTGTGATGGGAGTGACATATGAGAGTGAATTTCGTTACATCCCACGGCATACCAATTTGAAAAGCTACCTTGGAATAGCATAGATCATATAACCATATAAGGACAATGCTACAAGTTCAAGTTCCCCAACTCTCTCCATGTTCAAAAGTAAATCCTAATGTCTACTTCACATAGCAGGTCTTGACAACTGAGAAAACCCTTCAATGACCAAAGCATGTTTCTTGATCACTCTCTATGGTCGTTGCAAGCCAACAACTCTACATGCATGCGTAAAAAAACGATATATACCATGTTTGCAGCCAGGCAGTTCTTCCTTTTCTTGTTCATGCGAGTCATCAGGGCTCAATTCAACCATGGATGAATTTTTATGCTAAGAAAAATAAGATTTGGACAGCAGCGTGTTATTCTGATGGGTTGAAAGCATGAAGGACAAACTAGGGCAGAATGATTCTAGCCCACAGATGGCCTCATTATCATTGCAAAGACCTTGGTTCTTATCAAACAAAATATTATTAAAATACACACCTGCTTTAACTTTCATTCCTTCCACTTTTATTGCAAACCAGTGGCTTGATGCAGAGTCGTGGCTTAGTACTAACAAGGTTTTGGGGTAGAACAGACACACCAACCACTAGCGATCCATTAGGTACTCCAGAAAGAGGAAGCAACTCAACAAGAATAGATAGCTGAAAGATTTACCATTGCAGTCAGACAAGCTAAAGGATAGAAAATTTTAGACCATTTACAAGCTTGGATAGGATCTTGTACCTCTGGAGATTTCAAATCCACAACTGCATCTGAAACAATGCCCTTAACAGCAGCAGCCACAATGCTAAAGCATTTGCTGCGATCCAATAAAACAGATAGATCAGAATTCTTTGAAGCATCTTTTGGAATCTTCACTTGGCTCTCTTCAGTTCCTCTTCTGTTGAACCCAACTGCAAACTAAAGATAAAACAAAACTTACACCCATGGAAACAAGACTCAATGGTGCTTAAGACTTGTATAACTTCATATCACAAACATATATATCATCTCAGAGCAGTCAGATTTTGAGACATAGGAAAAAAAATCTAAGTGGCTGGAGTTTGAGGTGCTACAAGAGTGTATTCTTTTCGAGTGCCAATATGTGACAGTACAAGTCAGTCCTGTTGAAATGCATTTAAAGCATTGCTAACATTTGTTTCAACCAATACCTAGATAACCTATCCCCATTTTCTAAAAACCTCCCAGTCAAATATACTGCATCCATAATGGCAATATGAGCTTCAATAATTATGAGTAAGCTCGAACCTTTATAGGCAGTGCAAGTTTGTTCCTTTTATCATTCACAAAGTGAAGAACAAGCTTTGATACAACTGCTTGCAGTTCCTTCTCATTCAAAGAACAGGTAGCTTGAATGGGGAAGATGCGATGACACCAACTGCACCAATGAAATGCCATTTCACCCAAAATTCAGTAAATATGATAAATTACTGAAGAAAAAAACAAAGTATATAAATCGTAATGCTAGTGTAGAAAATAAATCATTAATTGTCAGTCATAAAATTATTACACATACAAATTTACACAGCAATCCTAATAAGTTATAACCACCAAATTAACAAAAGCAACCAAAAACTTGATATGCAAATAATTTAACTACCGTATTGGGGACATTATAGAAGCTTCTTTTACATTGTTAAATTGACTGACAAAAGGAGATTATCAATTAGGCATCTGACACACAACCAGTAAATCAAGAAACACTCTTCCTTTCCAAGATTCGAATGTAATAATTTTGACCAGTCTATGCTGCACATGATGCCATAAAGTTTAACCAAATTTTCTAGAAATAGTCATTAGTTTAGTGTTAGGTGAGGTGATGCAAGATGGCTGGGCCGATAAACTGTCAGCTTCTCAGGCACACAATTGAGATGAGCAGAATCAGAGATGATCCTGCATTACAAGTTGCAATTGACAAGCTTCATTGCAGGACAGAGCAAAAATGTACTGCAGCTTGCATTCAATAGAGGAGTTTGTTGAAAACTTTAAGTCTATCAGAACGATGCTACAGACTCTAGCTATAAGAACAGAAAAAGCACACAATTCAACTGGCGATGAGTCACACCTTTTAAAGAATTTGTTGCATCTATAACAGACTCCATTTTCCAGGGAAAACTCTTTGAAATGTTTAGAACAAAATTTTCCAGTATTTACTGGATGTCCAAAACATCCTTTCTGTCCTTCATTCTTTCATCTTGAGACATAACTCTGTATCCTAAATGCTAACCTGATTTTACTACAACTCTTATGGAAGAAGCTTGTGCTTAAGCTTCATGTCACCATGATAAGTAACATAAGATGCTAACACATCATTCCCAAGAATTGGCATGTTAGTCTCATCCAGGCCATCTTACAATCTCTTTGAATTCATAAAAAGCTCTCAAATTTGATAATATTGCATCTTTTTATCATCTTGCAAATAAATTACTTCATAGCTAAAAGCATACTGATGAAGCGAAATATTTAATTGGGACTTTACTAAAAAGATGTCAAACAATAGTCATATAGAGAGAACAAACATTTTCTACTCAAAATATTAAAATCTCATGACTCAAGACAAACATATCGTTCTGGCTAAACATGATGAACATCATGGCTCTGACCTTACTGCTTAAAGAATGTCACTGAGGACTTTCAGCAAACATTTCATGCAGCGCAAGTCATTATACATGATGACAATGAGCTTTAGGTAATTGCCTCAACTTTGGCACCATAATAACGTTCATCATTAATTGAGCCTGTGCACTCCGATCCACAAATCTGTCAATACTACTTTCAAACATTTTTGAAAATCCACAGTATGGTCTTCTAGTCATCAAGCCTTTTGGGGTATCCACTTGAACTAAAGTTTAACCTCCTGCAGACATTGCCATCTATAACAAACAGCCATGGATCTTATTATCTCTGATACTAGTGACCAGAGTTAAAAGTATGAGAATTTGGAGATGCAGTTCAATTTTTTTACTAAGTGTGTGTGTATACATACAGCCACATATAGAAATTGAAGTAGTCAAAGGTATTAATCACCCAAGCTATAAGTTTTCACAGTAGTCCGCACACAACTCAATTCATCAATAATGTTAACTTGTTTCTTACACAATTTCCACTCATCTTTTATGGGGTGCCAAGCGATGAAAATGTAATTTTAAAGTACTATGGAAAGTATATTCTGTACAAAATTTAGGACTTCTAAAATACTATTCTTCTAGAACACAGTTTGATCTAATTGAGATTTTATTTCAAACAACATTTTATGGAAAGATTGCTTTGTGTCATTTGTAAGATGATTCAGATAGAAGCACACTTTCTGGAGACAGAGACAACGATAGCAGTTATTAAACAAGTTGAGAGGGTAAAACAGTTTTTCAACTCAAGAACATTTGCAATAAACTTACAGTGGTGACTTTAAACTCCCAGACTCCAGATCCTGGAAAATATCTGAAACAATATCAATTGTGTCCAGAGAGTTCTCCCCAGGGAACGTAAGTAGAAGCAAACCACTCCTTGTCAGTTTGACTAGTGAAAGAACAAAATCTGGTGCTCCACTTTTATCAGTCTTTGCAAAGGAAAAATGGTCATCATTTGGAATTGCGCCTACCACAAAGAGGTATTTCAATTAGTATCAAACCCAGGGCCCTAGGCAAACTTGAACTGAATCTCAAAGTCCCAGTCTTTTAGGCCTGAGAAACTACTACCAGCAGCTTCAGTGATCTCCGAACTGTCAACGTTATTGGCAATATTCTGGTCAATTTCTTCTGTACATATTTTCCTTCTCTTAGAATCAGCATTTGCATCAGAGCCAGAGATCTCACTCTTGAAGGACCCAACATACTGCAAAATATTTAAACATATTACAAGCGTATTACTGACAAGAATACTACTACTCTCGATTATGTGACATGGTCAACTCTGGAAATCTATTTCAGAAAACATAGTGAAACCTCAGAAGAAACGACCTGCAGATACAATTTCTCATTTGGAATTGATCAAAAGTGACATACACTTCAAATGATTAAGAACCAATTCAGCATTTCGGCATCAATGTTTAGAAGCACCAAACCAATGCAATTGATCAATGCCAAAGGGCAAACGAAAAAGAAACCTTTTCATTTTCGATAAGAATATATAAAAGGACACAACTTAATTTAAAGTTTCAAGAAGTCAGCTTGCGAGAAGAGAAAAGTTCAATAAAATCAACAATTGGCTGTGTAACTAGCATAACTAAGAAATTAACATAAAAATTGGGAGTGAAACGAAGAAAACTGAGATGAAAAGGAAATACCTTTGAAAAGATAGACATGGCTTCTTTGGTAGCGCTCTTCTCCCTCTCTGATAAGAATCAAGGGGAAAAAAAAAAGTTTGTAAAAAGCCCATTTCCATCTGAAAAGGCAGCAGTCGAAATAAAGGGAGAGAGGACAGAACTGATAGTGCAAGTGATGAGGAAGGCAGAGTGAGAGCGTTGAAGTAAAGAAGATGGAGCCTTGTAATCGAAGCGAGGAATGCTTATAATGCTGGCATGTTGTTCCCATGGAGTCATGGTGGTTTTGCTTTCTTCTTCCTCCCCCTTTTTCGATTCCATTCTCAGTTGTTTTCTTTCCTCTTCTTCACCCATTCCCTGTTAAACCTCCGACTCCAAACACTCAAAACTTAGAGGTCCAAACCCCTTTGTAAACCCTACGTTTGTTTTTTTATATATACTAGAAATGTACCTGTGCATTATGTCACGGGCCACATGTCACGGGTCACAGCCCAGACCCGCCAAGAGGCCCAAGAGGGTGCCAGCCCTCCAAGACCCATGTAGGGTGTCAGCCCACCAAGACCCATGTAGGGATTTCCCTCCCAAATGAGCTTCTAGAAATCTTAGTTTCCCTCCCAAATGGTTTTGGAGGGAAATCTTTTGGAGGGAAATCCTTTGGAGGGAAAATTTTGGAGGGAAATGGATGGGGAACCTTGACTATAAATAACCCCATCCTCCTTGTGTAAATCATCCAACACACTTGTATCTCAATTCATTCAATACAAGCTTAGTTTTTCTCTCTAGCATTCTCTTCCCATTTTTCCTTCCTCGTTTATGCAAGCTTGCTTGCCGGCTTAAAGCCATTGTGTGGGTGTTGAGTGCTTGTTGGGCGAGTGCTGAAGCACTAAGGCTGACTTGGGTTCTAAGTGCCGAGATAAGGGTTGAGCCCAAGGCCGCACGGAAGGTGGTCTTAAGTATCGCCCCGTGACACATTACACATGGATATAATAATATATATTATAATAATTATGTTTATCATATTTTTTATTTTATTAATTTTTTATAAGTGAAGACAAAAGCAAGTTCATATATTAAAAATTACATCTACAAAATGTTATAATCAGTAATAAAAAATTTTAAAATATTATAATATAAGGTTATAATATAATGCATAAATATCAACACTAAACATAAAGTA